TCTTATATGTCTAAATAATATTATCACAAAACTATTTCTAGAAGTCTGTAGTTTATAATTGGTAGTCCACTGAGCTTCAAGGTCAAAATTTATGTTTGTCTTCTCTTTGGTGTAAATCTCTGTTTTTTTCTTTTACTAAATTGGAATTTTGAAAGGTGGTTTTAAAGTTTGAAGCCCTGTCAGATTTGATATGTGAGGATAATTTTGGAGATATAAAATTCTCTCCCTCATGTTCCTCTGTGCTTCCCTGCTCCCCCCAGAAAAAAAAAAAAAAAAAAAAAACAAGAAGGAGAAAACAGATTACTTGGTATAGACAAAATAATAAGGAAATCAGTGATTTGTGAACAGTAAACCATAAAGCAACATCCCCTGTAATCAATCAGTCCTTCTCTTTGGCTTAGTAAAGCATCCAATTTGCTCAGCTTACAAAAAAGTAGTGAATTTCAGGTTGAATTGTTCACATATCTAAGCTCTTTTTGGTCTGTATAGATTTCCTGTGTAATTCTGTTTATTTCCCCATAACTTGTCTTTAACGTTTAAGTATTAATAAAAAATAGAAAAGTCTCTGGGTTCTGTTTTAATTGTAGAGGCAGTAATTGTGTTCTGCGGTGGTTTGATGTAACAGGGGACAGCTAAGTTGATTGTAGGTTTGATAATCTTTCTCAAATATCTGTCTAGGGATATTTTTATTAATGATAAACCATGTGTAACTGCTTGGGAATTCTGTCCTAGGTTATCTGACATGACTTGTACATTTCTACAATCCAAGGCTGTTTATAGCTATATAAGCGTACTTGTAGAGATTTGGCAAGAATAATCCTTAAGTGGGCATATCATTATAGTAATATAATTAATATATGAATATTTCAGAAGTGATCTGCAGTCCTCATTGCCTGTATTTAATTCACAAAGATTTATTAATCTATTTACTTTAACTTCCCTAGTGGAAATGTTTAGTCTTTTAACCTTTCAGTGGTTGTATTTGATAACTTTCCATATGATAAAATGATGGAAGTTGTTACCTGTGACAACCCCTCCACCCTTTCTGGGCATTTATTTGAGTATCTTCAGTCTCCTGGAGAGCCTCCAAATGATTTTAGTGATTCCTCTGATGACATACTGGCTAAGTAGAAGTTAAAAGGAAGAAGAGACTGAATGTGATACTCCTCAAGATAACTATCATTTAATCATATTTATGTGAAGCTTACAAAATATAGAATCTCTTAATAAAAATGATTTCAACTAATCTTAAGATTTGTAATTTTAAAAATGGTGAAAGATCTTTTCAAAAATGAATTAAAGTTGAGGGATGTCTGTGGGCACCATTGGCTGATAGATCTTTGTGACAGCTTCTTTATTTTTCTTAAGATTTTTGTTTTTAAATTTATTTGAGAGGCAGGGTTACAGACAGACAGGGAGAGACAGAGAGAAAGGTCTTCTGTCTGCTGGTTCACTCCCCAAATGGCCACAATGGCTGGAGCTGGGCCGATCAGGAGTCAGGAGCTTTTTCCGGGTCTTCCACGTGGGTGTAGGGGCTGGAGCACTTGAGCCATCTTCCACTGCTTTCCCAGGCCATAGCAGAGAGCTGGATGGGAAGTGGAGCATCTGGGACTTGAACTGGCACCCACATGGGATGCTGCCAGCACTGCAAGCAGTGGCTTTACCTGCTTCGCCCCAACGCCGGTCCCATACTTACATTTTTTTTTTTATAGTTCATGCTTTCTCCTTATTTTCTTTGTACTAATATAGTCCCTTTAATAGTTCTCTTTGTTTCTTTTTTGTGACAGCCTTTGATTGCTAAATTCTCTTAGTGTGTATTTCACAAAAAGTATCTTTAGAGGATTTCTTTTAAAAGTGTTTATTTGAAAAACAGAGAGGCACAGAGAAGGAAATAGGAAGAGGCAGGCAGGCAGAAAGAGAAAGAAGGAAAGAGAGACAGAGACAGATAAGTTATTTTCTCTTTATTTGAAAGACGGACTGACAGAGACAGATCTTCCATCCTCTGGATAACTCCTCAAATACTTGTATCAGCTGGGGTTGGGCCATGTCAGATATGGGAACCTGGAACTCAGTGTGGGTCTCCTGTATGGGTGGCAGGGACCCAACGACTTAAACTACCACCTACTGCCTTCTAGGGTGTGTGTTAGTGGGAAGCTAGATTAGAAACAGAGCTGTTACTCGAACCCAGCTCCTCCAGTATTGGATGCTGGCATGACAAGCAGCATGTTAACCACTCTGAGAGATATCTCTTCCTAGAAATATCTTTATTTTTCCCTTTTGAAAGCAGCTTATAAAAATGGAATTATGTTTTCTCTGTACATTCCGCTAGGTCAGTTGCTCTAGTCTGCCTTGTTTGGGAATCGGGCTTGAGCAACTCCAGTTGGGAACATGTCATTTTTGAAACAAATAGAGAAAACCAAGGGAAACTGGAACTGTTGCTTAAAGCTTCTGCTCACAGGGTGCACATCAGTGCCTTTTTCTTTTGGTTGGTCGCAGCTAAGCATGTGGCCTGTGTCACTGGGCTAGTATGTTTCACTTATGAGAAGGGCCAGTGTGAGTCCATGATACAATCTTACTTGAAAACAGGCTTCAAATGTACTTCCCCTTTTAATTTTTTCAAAAATTAAGCAGTTATCTCTTTTTTTTTTTTTTTTTTTTTTGACAGGCAGAGTGGACAGTGAGAGAGAGAGACAGAAAGGTCTTCCTTTGCCGTTGGTTCACCCTCCAATTAGCAACTAGTGTCAGAGAAAACCTGCTCTCAGTCTAGTTGTCTTTGTTTTCTATGCATTATTTGTCTGTAGTTGTTTTTAAGATGGTCACTTTTTTGTAATGTTTCATGATTTCATTTGATAAGTGTATGCAGAGTGTTTCATTATTAACTCCACCTTACATTTCAGTCAATCTGAGAATTCACATCGCTTTTCAGTTCTTCAGATGCCCAGCCACTTTTACCCAACATTATATGCATAAAATCCCTTCCATTCTCACCCTTTGAACTCTTCGTAACCAATTAGCAGAACTTCTCAGTTCTGTCCTTCACGTGGTATGGTGGCTGTTTCATGTTATTTTTTAGTAAGCTCTTGGTTTCTGTGTGCTGCATGCTGAATACATTTCCCAGCACTTGTCATTTTCTGATTATTTAGTTTTTTTTCAGTCTGGAATTTATTACACATGTTTCATTTTTATTTGAATGACTATGTATTTCACTTTTCTAATATTTCTCTTTATATCCAAAAATTTTTGTTTGATTTCTATCTCATTGTGTTTCATAATTTCTCATCTTTTTTTAATGAAGATTTATTTATTTATTTGAAAGTTACAGTTACACTGAGAGAGGGAAAGGCAGAGAGGAAGAGAGAGGGGGAGGGGGAGGGAGAAGGAGGGAGGTCTTGCATCTGCTGGTTCACTCCCCAATTAATGGTCAGTGCTGGGCCAATCTGAAGCCAGGAGCCAGGAGCTTCTTCCAGGTCTCCCACATGGGTGCAGGGGCCCAAGCACTTGGGCCACCTTCTACTGCTTTCCCAGGCCATAGCAGAGAGCTGGTTCAGAGGTGGAGCAGACAGGATACAAACTGGCACCTATATGGGATGCTGGCACTGCAGGCAGCACCTTTACCTGCTACACCACAGCGCCGGCCCCCGTTTCTCATTCCTTTTAAAAAATCTTTAAAAATGCTTTAGCCATTTATTTTCATCTACCTGAAATGCAGAATGAAAGAGAAAGAGAGAGGGCGACCTTGATCTTCCATCCACTGCTGCACTTCCCAGATGCCAGCAATAGCCAAAACCGGGCTAGATGAAGCCTGGAACTCCATGGGGGTCTTGCTTCTCAGGATGCATCAGTGGGATGCTGGATCCAGAGGTTTGAGTAACCAGTACTTGAACCAACACTTCAATAGCTTAGCCTGCTATGCCACAATACCTGCCCTTAACATTTCTTAGTGTTTCTAAAAGGATTTTGAGGTAGTTTGTCCATCCTTCAGAGAGACATATAGTGTGGTATAGTTAAATTTACATTCCCTGGGGGCAGTCTACTGGGGTTTGATTTCCAGCTCTCCACATAGCAGCTGTTTTCCTTTAGGCTGTTATTTAACCTAACTGGGCCTCAATTTTCTCATCAATTGAATCAGAACTAAGTGTAAATACCTACCTTATAGGTTATTGTGAGGATTGTGCAAGGAATAAATTAGGTACTTCTTGTAAAATGGGTATACCAAAACCTGGCACATAGTAAGTGTTCAGTAACTGTTAGCTATCATCATCAGTAACACCACCATCATCCTCCCCTCCATCGTCAGTAGCATCATTATTGTTATTTCTCAGAGCACGGCAAATGTGGTCATTGCCGTGGTCCTCTATAATACTCACTTATTCTGAAGGAAATCCATTTCTGAGTATTGATTTTGCTTGCTAGCTTTTTATCATTAGTTTTCTTTTTCTTTCAAGGATTTTAGAATTAGGATTTGGAAACTAATTTTGACTGGTTAGCTGTTGTGGTTGTTTTCTCACTCACTCTCCTCTAGATTCCATTTTCCTTTTCTAACAATTTATAGTTACCCCTATTGCACATTCCCAAATGGCGCCTTATGATTGGTTCTGAGTTCCTTTCTTCATGGAGTCTGTTGGTTGGATCCGCATCCAGTCACTGAACCCCTCAGCACTCTGTTACCATCTTTAAGGTTGTGTTGGTGGCCCTCAGCTTTAGTTGGCTTCATAGTCTCAGACAACATGTAGGCAGTTTTCATCAGCCTTCTTCCCCCACCCCCAGTGAAACCTTTTGTTTAAGGAGTACAAATTTCATAAGTACAATTTTAGGAATATAGTGATTCTTCCCACCATACCTGCCCTCCCATGCTCACTCCCACCCCTTCTCCTCCTCCTCCCTCTCCCATTCCCAGTCCCAGTCCCATTCTCCATTAAGATTCATTTTCAATTAACTTTATACACAGAGGACCAACTCTGTACTAAGTAAAGACTTCAATAATTTGCACATGCACACACACAAATATGGAATGCATCACTAATTTGCATGTCATCCTTGTACAAGGGCCATGTTGATCTTCTCTGTATTGTTCCAATTTTAGTATATATGCTGCCGAAGCAAGCACATCATCAGCCTTCTTTTTGAAGTCTGCAGTTGTACCGCAAGTTCCTGGGGTTAGGAGGAGATCCCGAGTCTGTTTCCTTGTCTTGGGCCACCTTACTCCTTGTGCTTCTCAGTGTGAAGTCAGACAGGTGGTGGTGTCACTTGTGCTCATCACTGGAGGTGTGTGAGGCTCCACATTTGCTTTCTGTTTCCTGTTTTCATGTACTTGATTTTTTTTTTTGGGGGGGGGGGGGTCTATAAAGGGATTTAAATCCTGAACTTTCTGTGCAGTTCTGATGGGAAGTGTTTCCCACTTTTATCTGTATTATTTCTTCTATATTTTATGAGGTTAATTTTTTTCTTGGTCACTTATTACTTTGCTTTTGTTTTCTCCTAAGACTTGGGGTTTATTGTGTTTGTTTATTTGGGCAATTTTTTGTCTTGCACCTCCCAACTTGAATATGTAGTTCATAAGGACTTCGTTCACTGCTATATTCCTAACATCTTAATTACTTGTGTAATAGGTACTCAATAAAATGTACAGAGTCCATGAATGATTGGTGGTATCTTTGTCCTGAGTTGTGTCATCATTGTTGTGTTTCAGTTAATGTGGATTTGAGACCTCTGTGGACTTCTCAAGGAACGGTTGTTCTCACTGGAGGAAGGACAGGTGGTGTGACCAGAGGCCTCTTGGCATTGTTTATTTCTTAGGAACTAAGTCTTTTCATACTTCTCGATAGATGTTATTTATGATGACCTGTTGTTTTCCGTCTGCGAATCTAGTCTAAGTCTGCTATTTGAACTGTCGTTGAGACAAACCAGTGTGATGCTTTGTTCTGGGCCCATAAGTTGGAGTCAGGCATCTCCCTCCCCCCATTTTTGTTTTCTTTTTTGAGTGTAGGCAGAACTTGGATATTTAATCTTTGTTTATCTGATCATTTAAAAGAATTGCTTGGGAGGTTATTCTGGGGGCATGTATCACCCCTCTGCTATTTATTATAAGCAAACTTGATTGAGTCAACATAATAGAGTTGTAAAATTAACTGCCCTGCTGGTGTCCTCTCCTGATTTTTAAAATAATTGTTTTACTCTGCTGTTGCAAAAGCCCTGGAATTGCTCAGTCCTCAAATATAATTTTCTCTTGTCCATTGTTTGGCTATGTTTGCACCTCTCTTCTTTCTCCATTATTCTAATTCCACTCTAAATGTTGCAGTAATTTTCCAGTCTATGGCAGGCTTTCTAGTTTCCAGAGCAGCTATAACTACATTTTTTCCATCATTTCTTAACTATCAGTTTTTCAGTTTGGTCTTAAAGCACAGAAGCATGTGTTTTCTTAGTCAGCCATCTTGATTCTGTTTTCCCATTTAATTTTTAAAAACTTGGTTTAGAAATAAATGATTTTATACTGGCCTGCCTCTATTAATTTCTTCCTGGGGGAGATCATGGAATAAAGAGCAGTCAGTGATTCTTGTCGTTTGAAAGACTGAAATCACTTTATATTCTATCATATTTTCTTTGTGTTTAATTCATGAGTTACCCCCTTTTTCTTTTTGGGCACTTTGAACCTTTTGCAGTTGCTGCTTGCTACATAGGTTAAAAATGTATTTGTTTGGTATCATAGATTGATTCTACCAGTATCACAAACTATAATACCTAACAAAAAAGCGGTAAGAGCTAAAGCTAGGAGAGTCAATTAAATCTAGATCCCTTCTTTTCTCTTTCACTCTCTGCCTTATGGCTTTTCTCCCAAGTTAATTAATTTCCATGTCTCCTGGCCATTAGCAATTAATTGGATCTTTTTTTTTCTTTTAGCCTCGAGGGTCTTTTTTTTTTTTTTTTTTTGTAGTTTTGGCTCAGTGCTATCAGGAAATGCTTGCTTATTTGTTTTACAATACAATCAGTACTGTAACCACAGACCCATATGATGTCCAGCTGTGTAAAGTAGTATCACCCCCCAATGTACCTGTACACAGTAGATACGTTCTCTGTGACACTTAGATTAGAGACACATTTGTTCAAGGATTTGAGACCTAAATAATTCATGGAATGAACATTCTGGTTCAGAAATTGAAAGGACTTGTGTTCCCAGATGAAATTTTTGATATTACAATGAAAAGAGTTCAACTGAAGCATTTACAAAGAACACTTGGATATTATTCTGTGAAGCAAGATACTACTATAAAGTGACCTAAAATCTACTTTGAGTTGACTTTGTGTGTGTCCTGTGCTATTAGAGCAAATCTGCTTTAGGATTTTAGATTCTTGTTGTGTCCTTTGGTTTTAGACCTTTATTGCTGCCAAAAGTGTTTGCTTACTGGTTGCCAGTTGTTAAAGTAAACCTACATTGAAACTTGGGTGAATTATATTACATTTATGAGATATGCTACAAACATACTGAATTCAGATATCCATAACCATTGGTTGTAGAGAAAAAGAGTTTCAACATCTTGGAAGGGAAATTCAACATAGGAAAGAGTTTCTTAGCAACAAATCCGCTAATGAGCTGTGTGATTAACTTGAGGCATACCTTGAACCCAGTTGATACGTCTTTTTCTTTGTCATGACATTTTAGGTCAAAAATTTGTTCCTGAAGTCATTCAGACTCTTCTTTGTTTTTTTTGTTTGTTTGTTTGTTTGTGTTTTTGTTTTTATTTGAAAGTCAGAGTTACACAGAGAGAGAAGGAGAGGCAGAGAGAGGTCTTCTGTCCACTGGTTCACTCCCCAATTGGCTGCAACAGCCAGAGCTGTGCTGATCCAAAGCTAGGATCCAGGAGTTTCTTCCTGGTCTCCCATGGGGTGCAGGAGCCCAAGGACTTGATCTGTCTTCTACTGCTTTCCCAGGCCACAACAGAGAGCTGGGTCGGAAGTGGAGCAGCCAGGACTTGAACTGGCACTTATGTGGGATGCTGGCACTGCAGGTGGCAGCTTTACCCGCTAAGCCATAGTGACAGCCCCAGACTCTTCTTTGAATTACAAATCTTCTACTTTGCAACTATGATAAATTCATTCTCCCATGGCTTCATTTTCCTCAGATGTAAAATTAATGTAAATAATCTCAACCTCCTAGAGCTGCTGTAAGTAGTTGTCTAGCACAGGGCTCTACAGAGTCAGTAATTAATGCAGTTAGTATCTTCTTGCCCTATTTCTCTGCTCTGCTTTGTAACCTGTTCTTTAGCCACAGGATCATTTTGCTGGCTATATACGTCTGGTAGCTGTGCCTCAGCTTTCTCGCTATTTAATTAGCTGATTTGGTGAATTTCCTGATGCTGTCATTACTTGAGAATTTTTTTTTTTAAGATTTATTTTATTTATTTGAAAGAGTTACAGGGAGGTAGATACAGGGAGAAAGGTCTACCTTCTGTTGGTTCACTCCCCTAATGGCTGCAACAGCCGGAGCTGCACCGATTGGAAGCCAGAGGAGCCAGGAGCTTCTTCCGAGTGGAGGGGCCCAAGGACGTGGGCCATCTTCTACTGCTTTCCCAGGCTATAGCAGAATCGGAAGAGCAGCGGCTGAGACTAAAACCAGTGCCCATAAGGGATGCCTGCACTGCAGGCCAGGGCATTAACCCACTGCACCACAGCGCCGGCTCCTGGTTGAGTTATTTTCAAGCTCTACAATTGGTCAGGATTTTTTTAAAGATTTATTTATTTATTTGAAATTCAGAGTTATACAGAGAGAGGAGAGGCAGAGAGAGAGGTCTTCCATCCGATGGTTCACTCCCCAGATGGCCCCAAAGGCTGGAGCTGTGCCAATCTGAAGCCAGGAGCCAGGAGCCTCCTCTGGGTCTCCCACGTGGGTGCAGAGGCCCAGCACTTGGGCCATCCTCTACTGCATTCCCAGGCCATAGCAGAGAGCTGGATAGGAAGCGGAGCAGCTGGGTCTCGAACCAGTGCCCACATGGCATGTGGGTGCTTCAGGCCAGGGCGTTAACCCACTGCGCCACAGCTCTGGCCCCAGATAGTCAGTTTTGACTTAAACTCTCATCTGTTCCTTCTGATGTCTGCTCCCAGAGGCTTTGGGGTATCCTCTTACCATTTTTTCTTTCAGTGCATCTAGACTGGAGGGCATCTCTTATTTACAGTTTTTAGATATAATCTAGATTACTGACCATAAATATCAGCCATAAATATCATATTCGTCAAACAGCAATGAGGGGTGATGACTAGACCCTTAGAAGTACATGTACGGTTTCCAAGAAAGGTAGTGAGAAAATTGATCTAGCAACTTCCTGCTGGGGGAAGGTAAAGGTGATAGGCACACTGAAGGTTAGAGTGGGTGGGCAGTGAGGATTTTAGTGTAGAGGGTTACTGAGTAAATTTGGCCTTGGAGTTCTGTGTTTGTCAACTTTTTGTTACTTTAATATACCTAAGAGCAACTTCTTAACATAGAAGAAAATTTATTTTGGTTTGCAGCTTGGAGGTTCTCATTCTAAGGCCGTAAGTGTGTAGCCCCATTAGTCTGGGGTCTGATAAGGATTGCACATGATAGAACCCTGGGCAGAAGAAGAATCTTAGGGGGATCCAGGAAGCAGAGAGACACAGGGAGACACAGAGAGACACACCCTCTTCCTCTACACTGTCTGGTCTCTCCTTCTTGATGCCATCATGATTTGATCACTGGGCTCTGCCCTAGCAACATATGACAATCCATTCACCTCCAGCAGGCCCCACCTTCAGATACCATAATAGGATCAAGCCTGTACCCTAATTCATCAACCATTGGCAAAATTTGGGCTTTAAAAGTCGACATGTGTTTGGGGAGCCTAAATCCTGTTTAAGCTGTTGCTTTTCCATATTGGCATTACAGTAAAAGAGCAACTCATTATCCAGGCGTGGGGGTAAAAGTGTTGTGCTGTGGACAAACATGATTTGAGGTCAGTTCTGTCTGAGCCATTCATGATTGTAGTTCAGCTCTGCATCTTCTCTAGCCCTCTGGCTACCACCTTGAGAGTCCCAGTTTCCTCCCTTGTGAAGGCACTGAAGAAATTGATAGCAACCTCAATAAATTAGTATGACATATGA